GTGGGTTTGAACCACCAGCCTTCTGGTTAGCAGTCAAGTGCTTTAGCCACTATGCTACCAGAAACCAAGGAGGGGTCACTATGAGTGGGATCTGACTCGAGAGCAGTGAGTTTGGTTTTGGTTGGTAACTTCACTCAGCATAACGGCCTCTAAGTTCATCCATGTTATATAACATGTTTCACAGATTCATTATTATTCTTCAATGTTACGTAGTATTCCACTGTATGTACGTATCATAGTTTGTTGATCCATTCTACCCATTGATGGATATTTAGGTGGTTTCCATCTTTTCGCTATGTCACACCAAGTTTTTAATTCATACAGCATTGCCCTTTTGTGGCTATCAACTCATTTTCTACCACTATTCTTGTTTAAAGGCACTTACACCACATTTCTCTCCTTGATATACTCTGACTGCTCCAATCAGGTTAACAACTATCCTTTCTTTGTGCAGTTTCTTCTGCCTGGGAGCTCTTTCCCAGCATTTTCATGGCTCATTCTACACTTTTTCAATAAAGTCTCTACCCAAAGGAAATGTTTTGTTTTTTACCACTTCTCTAAAATAGAATTTGTCATGCTCACGATTATTATTTAGTCTCATTTTAAAAAGTATTTATATCTAGAGAAAGTATTCTTCAAAAATGAAGGAGAAATAAAAGCTTTCTCAGACAAACAAAAACTAAGGAAATCTACTGCTAACAGTTTTACTCTATAAGAAACATTAAAGTTTCTACAGGCACAAGGAAAGGAAAAGAAAGAAAAGGCATTAAAGATGAAATAAATGAAAGTACAATTAAATTCATTCCTCTTCTTATTTTTAATTCATCTGAAAGATAACTGACTTTCTAAAGCAATAATAGTAGCAAACTCAACACAACACAATACACTGCCGTAGGGTTGGATCTGACTCACAGCAACTCCTCCTTGGGTTTCAGAAGCAGTATCACTATGGAAGTAGATTGCCCAGCCTTCCTTCCAAGGAATGCCTGGTGGGTTTGAACCGACAGTCTTCTTGTTAGCAGTCTAAAGACCTTAGGCACTATGCCACCAGAGCTTTCATTTGTGTTTCCAGCATATGTTAAATTAACATATATAATCATAACAACACAAAAGATGGGGGAGAAGAATTGAGAATATACTGTTACAAGGTTCTCACTCTACATATGAGTGGTATAATACTATTTGATGGTAGATGGTAGATGCAGATTATTTAAAAATCAATATTCTAAACTCCAGGAACTCCACAAAATACTAAAAAGAGGAATAATAAATCAATAGAGAAGATAAAATGAAGTAATAAAAAAATCATGAATTGGCAAAGCAAAAGGCAGAAAAAGAACAAATGGAACACGTAGAAAACAGCTAGAATGATGGTAGAATTTAATCCAACCATATCAAAAAACACTTTAAATACAAACAAGTTAAACATACCAATTAAAAACAAATTGTCAGATTGTATACAAATGCAAGAACTCTGGTAGCAAAGTGCCTTGACTGCTAACCAGAAGGCTGGTGGTTCAAACCCACCAGCCACTCCTTGGAAGGAAGATTGGGCAATCTACTTCCATAGCGATACTGCCTCGGAAACCCAAGGAGGGGTCGCTATGAGTCGGGTCCAATTCAATGGCAAACAACAACAACAACAACTTTAGGCTGTCTGCA